AACTTCTAGTGACAGATATTAAAATCTTTAATCTTGCGTTACATCCCAGTTAGATAGGAATATCACATAATATTAAAGTGCATAACGTATTTCGAGCATTTCGTTTACATTCAGCATACATTTTGCTATAAAACTTTCAACACAAAATAGTTTAAACGAGGCTTCGTAATGACAAAAAAAAAAAAAAAAAAAAAATTTTAAACAGTAATACTTTCTGTTTTTTTTTTTTTTTTTCTTTATCTATAGTGATGATAATAGAAGTAGCAAATCTCACCATTTCACTGTTTTTTTCAGGATACTGTACTCTGGCAAAGCATGCGGAAAGAAAGCCAGGTATATATTCAGTGTCTAAATTTCCAGTGCATACGTTTTTAATGGTAATTTGTAATAAAAACTCTGGAAGACGCATGATTTTAAAATTTGTAGATTACTCATGATATACATTTATTGTCCTGAAGACAATGCACTTTCTTTCTAAGCCTCATCCAAGGTTGAATACTGCTTGCTGCTTTTCCGCTTATCGCAAATCTGTCAAAAATGTAAGAGTTTGAAAAAAAATCGGCTGCCAGGTTTGCTGTTAATTATGAATGAACACCTAAGTCATCATTATTCTCTATATCATTATATATAAATATATACATATTGGTATATACAAACTCTAATAAACTTTTCATATCAAACCTTTCGTTGGTCTAATGCTACAAATTTTAAAAGTAACTCATCATTTTATTTTTTAATTTTTAATTTTTATGCTTTTTGGATCAAATTTTCTCTTATTTTTTGCATTTTTCTGCATTGCTTACTTTGGACAGAAATTACCTTGATTGTTTTTCTGAGATTTTTATAAGTTTTAAACTTATAAAAATAAAACTCAATTACTTCTGAAAGTAATATATGGAGATTTGTGGTATCTTCTGAAAGTATATATGAAGTATAGAATGATATTATTTAAGAAGTATGAAGTACTGAGTATGAAGATCTGTGGTATCTTCTGTGGTATAAATCTGGGGCACTTCTATGATATGATGGTATCTTTGTGCTTCTATCATAGCTTCTACCGGTATAGCATCAAAATTGTAAATGTTCTGGAAGTATGCACGATTTGAGTGCCATGTGAATTGTGGCCACCAATGGGAATTTAAATAAATATGGAATATAATCCGGCTCGACTGTTTCTTCTTTAAAATGGTGGACGCTCTAAGTATCAAGTATCTCCATCATTATTTCTACGCATCTACGTCTCAATGTTCTTACATCAGTGCTTCCAAAATTTGTGCAATTATTACATGTACATATATTTATATACTTATATATGTATGTATGTATGTATAACACAGCACCAGTATGTATGTGTATATATGTGTATGTATATAGAATTGAAATAGAAATAGTAAAGCTAACAAGTAATGAGACGTAAGACCTAGTGTATATATATATATATATATATATATATACATACAATATGTGTATGTATATATATATATATATATATATATATGAGTGTGTATGTGTGTGTGTATCTGAATTTAGAAAACAAAAACATTTTAAAAGAATATGCACATTTTAAAACCTAGGACACATATACACATACATACTGGTGCTGTGTTATACATACATACATAAATATATAAGTATATAAATATGCAATTTTTATTTGTCGGTTAATTTCTGCTTTTTGCAGAAGACGTGCATTTTCGACAATTTTAAATACGAAGCAAATACAACACTCTTGCTCTTACGTTATAACTTCTGTGGTATGAAATATCGTAACTGATTTTTCAGCGTAATGGATACACAGAAAGCATTATCTTAGCAATTTACAGCCCTTAAATATTATTTAACTTTCAAAGCAATCACAAACCAAATTAAAATCAAATAAAGATTAATTTACCCATTCCTAGTGAATTACTATTACACTTAAGGAATAGACCTATCGTACACACATTATTACAAAATGAAGATACTTGTTGTAATCACAAAGATTCGAAATATTTATGTTACTGGCAAAGTATGGAATGCCGGCATTCCATAGAATGCCTAGTCATTGTATACAATGCCGAACGAATTTAGGCAACGTATGAAATATGAGAATTATTACATACTTTCCCTGGGCATTGTATATAATACCTAGGCATTTTATAGATTGACAAATGCTTTTTAGGCAAAGTATGAAAAATGTTTATGATAAGGTTATTATTTAAAAGACGTCCATTCCTCAGAAATACAAATGTTATTTTGAAAAATTAATGAAAGAGTGCCATTAAAAAGTTTTTATTCGAAATACGCAAAAAAATAGTGAAATAATCTTGATACAACATAGTAAGTTTGCTGTCTGGCTGAGATTAGGAATCCGTAAGATCTACTTGACAACTGAAATTACATTCAGAAACAATCATGCGTTTCACATCAATGGCCTCTTTAATACCAGTTTGTTTTCCTGGCAGGGCTCACAAAGGCGGTTGTACAGCTCAATATGGTTACGTGTAAAGGTTTTGTAATTTGTTGAACATTCTTTCAACATTCTGTCACGTCCTTGTCCAGTAATCAAATGAGTTTTCATGAAATACGGAAAATAACTCAGGATCCGTGACGTAATACTGTATAGTACCGACTCTTTCTTTAACAGGGTACTTCTGTTTTCCACAAACATCACATCCTAGCGTTTAAGCGGCTAGTAGTCCCGTGGTTCCTTCTTTTATTTTACAGCAGTTTTAGTCATTTTGGCCTTTTTACATCATTTATAAGCTTCTTATATGTAGTTCTGGTTCTTCGAAATGAACCGGAATTGTATTTCATACTTTGCCGATTTGTCATTTGGCACTCTATAGAATGACTAGGATATATGTAGAATATGAATCGCTTCACACATTGCCGACTAGTTTTAGGCATTATACATAATGCCTAGGCATTCTATACAATGCCGGATTTCAAACTTTGCCGGTAACATTTACAATAAAGTTCTAACTTCGGATGGCTACACTATCTCTAATTTCGTAAAACACACACTGATGACACGACGATTAATTAACTTTAACAGCTAATAAAAACAGCTGGAGTTAATTATGTACAAGACACAGCGTTAATGTATGCTTTCTTCATGAAAGCTTCTCTAGCTTTAACATTAACTTCTTGTTTTTGATATATGGTGCATGTGTTGCAATTTATGATCTTTTTTCTTATTCTTATTATTTACATTTAAGAACATCGATAAGTGAAATTTTGCTTACCTTTCTTAATGAATATCCACAGGAACGCTTGGAATTCCTTTTCTTTTTTATCACACAAAAGCTTTATTTACAGCTATGTACAAGAAATGTATGCTTACATTAGAACATTCATCATGTTTTTTCTGGTTGCCACTACATCTATCTCAAAAATCCGCAATGCGGTAAGAAAAATATAACAAGCTAAAAGTAAAAAACGCTGCGCCCTCTCGTGGTCAGCTACATAAACTATAACATCCTCCCCCTCGATGAACTCTTGGTTCATCAAAGGATTGGATCTGAAGTTATCCTAAACACTAAATGTTTTTAATGTTCTACAAGTTTAAATGTTCATAGATGCAGTGTTCGCAATTTAAGTTCATTGTATTTAGTTCAAAGAGTTCAAGTCATTTCTAATGGGTACAATAACTGCACAGGACGACGAAGAGGAGTTCATTAGCTAAACGGACAGTGCAAGCCCTTATTTTCCCATCTCGTCCTGGATGACACTCATGTACAACTCCCATCTTCCATAATAATCTTGGTAATTTTTCTTCATGTACTAGAACTACAGAGCCTTTCAAAAGATCTGTTACGGCATTACCTCTCTGAATTTGTTTCACGTTTCTAACTTCAAGTAAGTATTCTCTTTTCCATCTTTTCCAAAACTCTTCTAATAACCTTAGCCGGTATTTATATCGCCTTGTTAAATTTTCTTTAGTTGAATCAGGTTCAAGAATTTTGCCAGATGGTAAGGATGTCAGTCTTCGTCCAACTAGAAAATGAGCTGGCGTCAGCGGTTCTGGTTCTCCAACTTCACTATAAACATACGTCAGTGGACGCGAATTCAATATTCGCCTCAATTTCAATTAAAACTGTTTCCAGCTCTTCAAATTTAAGTGAATCCTTCATGAGTATTTTCTTCAAACATGACTTGATAGATCTAATAAGCCTTTCCCAGAAACCGCCCCACCAAGCCGCCTTCTCGACATTGAATTTCCACTCAATACCTTTATTACCAAAATAATTTTGAACTTCTGTGTCCTTGATGGTAATCCATAGTTTTTGTAAATCCTTGTCTGCTCTTTTGAAGGTTTTTTGAAGGTCCTCTTCTTGAAATAAATCTTCCAAAGGATAGAAGAAAATTGTTTGCTGTTTGGCTAGACACAAGTTCCAGATGCACTGCTCTGGTTACAGCGCATGTATGCAGAGCAATATAAGCTTTCCCAGTTTCATCCTTTGTACTCATAGGATCAGCAAAATCAAGTCCTACAACTTCGAAGGGATTTGCCTCTGTTATTCTTTCGATTGATAAAGGAGCGATATCCTGACTTAGTGGCTTAGCTTTAAATCTGTAGCAAATCACACACTTGTTAATATTACTCTTTACAAGCTGTCGACCCTTAAGTATCCAAAATTTTTCCCTAATTTGAGTTAACCCTTTCGGCCCCACCGGGACATATATATCCCGCAAATGTTTCCAAATCACCCAATGGGAAAAACAAGCGTAAAAGTTATTGCCGCGAGTGTCCCACTGGTTTCCTGTGATTACATCTACCTTTTAGTGTAATTTTTTCTCGATAGATGACACTAGTGCCCTGTGAGCTCTTTGTTTTATCGTAACAGTTTTGACAAGCGGGAAAGTTTGGACATTCTGGCAGCCATTTTAGGCGAAGATACATGAGTGGACACACGTGCTGTTTTCGTTGTATGTGATTTTCGTCTGTTTTTGCCATATCAAGCAGTTTATTTGAAGTAAGTGAATTTTCATTGTAGATTTTGAAAAAAAATAATATTATGGGACATATATGTCCCAATGGTCTGTTTTATTGGGACATTATTGTCCCAGTGGTTATTGAAATATATCTATGCCTCATTCTCAAAGTGGTCATTTCTGTATTTTTAGGTATTTTTAGGCATAGCAATATCATGAATCGCAGGAAGGGATTGACAAAGGAAGAAATAATTAAATTATTGAATGAACCGGATTCAAGTGATGAATTGGACGATTCAGATATAGACAAGGAATATGTCCCTAGTTCCTCAGACAGTGATAGCTGTGAAGAATTGAGAGAAAATTCAGAAACATCAAGGGCACCGAAACGAAAGCTGTCATGTCTTGAGCATTCATCAGAACCCTCCGTTGACTCGGACTCTGATGATTTCTCACCCGATGAAGCGGAGCAGGTATCAAAATATAAGTGCAAGGCAAAAAATAAACATAAAAAAAAAACTATTTCAAAACCTACTGATCCTCTCATTTGGTCAAATGTTGGTCCAAATTTTGAGCCACGGCTCCATGTATCTAAAGACCGTCCAACTGCAATACTGGCCAAAATCAACAGATCCTCTAATGAATTAGAATGTTTCTCATGTGTATTTCCACGAAGTCTTCTTATTTTTATTTCTCAATGTACCAACCAGCGCCTTGAAATACTGAGCCATGAAAAAAAAGTAGATATTCCTGACACAGACCCTTCAGAAATTCTGCTTGTGTTGGGAGTTATGCTTGTCATGTCGTATAATCAAGTACCGAACTTTTCAGATTATTGGTCCAGCAATTCTTCATTGGGAAACGAAGCTATCAAAAATGCGATTTCCCGTAACAGATGCCTATTGCTCTTTGCAAAAATGTACTTCAATGATCCAGAAAAAGATGCGAATGCTCCAAAGACATATTATATGGATGAAGTGGTGGCATGTTTCAAAAGGACATTTATGCAAGCTCGCGAAGATAGTCCCTTTCAAAGCATCGATGAATCCATGGCTAAATTCAAAGGTCGTTCTAGCCTAAAGCAGTATTTACCCCTAAAGCCAATAAAACGGGGAATCAAAGTGTGGGAGAGATGTGATGCTGCTACGGGCTACACCTATGACTTCAATATATATTCTGGCAAAGACATGGATAATACAGATCATGAGGGTACAATACTTGGAGAAAGAGTTGTTCTAAAACTTTCCTCAACAATACGTAACCCAGATGTTACACTTACATTTGATAGATTTTTTACAAGTGTAAACTTAATGGATAACATATCCTATCCTTCTGTTGGTACTTGTATTTCTCGTAGAAAAGACATGCCAAAATTCTCTGACGAAAAACTTCAAAAAGGTGATTCAGAATTTCTCCAGAATAGAAGAGGAACTCTTGCAGCAAGATGGCAAGATTCAAAGGAAGTTCTGATTCTGAGTAATTGCCACGGACCTGATGTCATACAAGTAAAACGCAAGCAGAAAGATGGAGAAAAAGTAATGACAAATTGTCCTACCGCTATTGCCGACTATAACAGATTTATGGGAGGAGTAGATTTGTCTGATCAAAAGATATGCCTATATGATTTTGACAGAAGATCTACAAAATGGTGGAAAAAAGTATTTTATAAACTTTTGATGACAGCTGTTGTGAATGCACACATATTGTTTCAAGAAACCAAACATAGGAAAATACCTCTCTTGCAATACATTGTCCCCCTAGCCGAATTAATGATTGCTCATGGCAAAGAAAATGCAATTGTCAAGAGGAAGAAATCAGGTCGACCGTCAAATGCAACAAAACTGATGTTGAATGTTGGAGATCATTTGCCATTAGAAGGGCCAACAAGAAGAAGATGTGCCCGCTGTGCCAAAACAAAATAAAAACCCGAACAAAAACTGTTTGCGCCATGTGTAAAATTGCACTATGTAAAAACTGTTTTGCAATGTACCATACATAGAAATTTCATAAATAATGTTGTGTAGGTAGATGTTTTCTGATAAAACTGTTTCAAAAGTATTGTGAAATTCATTTAGAACTAGAAAACTGAACTTTTCACTATGTTTTATATTGTCACTTCAACCCCAATGGGACACATGTGTCCCAACTAAAAGACCAGTGGGACACATATGTCACCTCCAAAATGGCCCTTACAGTAAATTTTTGCTTATAATTGGGCAGAATATTGCTATTTCTACTTTATTTTACCTAATAAACCCCTAATTTATCTTTTTTTTTTTTTAAAGAAAAAACTGGTTGTGAAAGGGTTAAAGTTTCAGCTACACCAGCGTGTGCTTGCATTTCGTGACAATCTTTAATGATATGATCTGTGAAATGCGACTTCTCAGATAGTATTGCTGGGTATGTTTGATTATAGCTTAACCCAGCATTTTGAAGCCTTCCTCCTACTCTGAGTATTCCATTTGAGTCTACAAATGGATTTAATGTAAATATTTTCGAACTATGTATGCTTTGTTTCATCTTTAATTTCCTTATTTCTTCTCTAAAATTTTCTTCCTGAGTTTTCTTGATCCAGAAATTCTCTGCTTCATTCATCTCTTCAGCCTTAACAGGTCCAATTCTTCTTAGTTTTGGGTTTTTCAAATTATTGATAAATCTGAAAACATAAGATGTTATTCTATATACCTTTTTTTATGTCACTAAAGTTCTCGATAGGAATGATATTTTCAACAATACAGTTTGCTGTTAAAATTTCTTGCTTCTTTCCTTTTCGTTTCTCAGAATTTGTTATTTTATCATCTTCCTTAAAATTTCTCGAAGATCTGGGCCAAACGTTGTTATCTTTGACAAGCCAAGGTGGGCCATACCACCACAGCTCATTTTTTGAAAGGGTTTCTACCTTCTGTCCTCTCGTCAATAAGTCCGAAGGATTCTCATGGCTGGGACAATAATTCCACCAATCTGGATCAGTTTTCTCTTGGATTTCTAGACACCTATTTCGTACAAATTGTTTCCATTTTGTCGGATCAGCCTTGACCCAATGTAATACAATTTCTGAATCTGTCCACATATAAATCTTCATTTCTATGTTTTTCAACGAATGTCGGATGTATGTGATGAGTCGAGCTCCTATGACTGCTCCTAAAAGCTCCAGTCGAGGTAACGTAACCCTTTTTATGGGAGCAACTCTTGCTTTGGACATAACAAATGATGTTTTTGTTAACTCATTTTCATTGTATCTCAAATATACAACGGCACCATATCCCTTTTGGCTACTATCTGTAAAACAGTGCAATTGAATATTCGACAGATTTCCTTTTGACAGATTGTTGAAATAATGTCTTGGAATTTCAACATTTTTTAATTTAGGAATTTCATTATACCAGGTTTTAAATCGATTCTGCAATTCTTGATCAAGTGGTGCATCCCATTGGTAACCTCTTTGCCAACATTCTTGCATCATCATTTTAGCTGCAACAACAAAGGGAGATATGAAACCGATAGGATCGTATAGTTCGCCCGCAACTTGAAGAATCTTCCGTTTTGTTATTTCCTCAGCCGGATCCTTGAGTAATTCATCTTTGATTCGAAATTTCAGTTTATCTGCTTCATGATTCCAAATATATCCTAACAAAGTGCTATTCATTCCGTCTCCATTAAACTTCGTATTTTCAGCTGCATTCCAAATCGCATGTAATTGGGCGTTATTGCTCCTCCACTTTCTCATATTGAAACTAGCAAGCATCATAATTCTTTTCACATCTTCATAAATTTCTGCAGCTTCTTCTTCATCATCTGTACCATGAATCAAATCATCTACGTAAAAATTTTCTTCAAGAAGCTGACAGATCTTCGAATATTGTGCTTTCAACTTTCTTTCTTTATAGTTGCTGCTAGTAAAAAGGGGCTACATGTTGCTCCGAATATTACACGCGTCATTCTTAAAATCCTCGGTTGCTCCTTTTCCTTTGATGTCCAAAAAAAATTTACTGCATTTCTGTCCTCAGGCTTCAACAGAATTTGTAGAAAAGCAGCTTCGATATCTGCAGCAAATGCTACTTTGTGTTGACGAAATTTAATTAGCAAATCTAATAATTCAGGGTTTAAATTTGGTCCTGAATGTAAGCAATCATTTAAAGATAGACTGTCATGAGTATGCGAGGAAGCATCAAATACGACCCTTAATTTCGTAGAATCGTGATCTTCTCTGATTACACAATGGTGTGGCAAATAATAGATGTTTTTCTTCAGAATTCTTCGGAGCTTTTTCAGCTATTCCTTTATTTAGATAATCTTCAATTACCCTTGAATACTTGTCATAAATTTCAGGATTTTTTTTAAACCTTCTAAGTAAACTGTTCCATCTGTTTAAGGCGATGTTATAATTACTACCCATTTTGTTCATATTGTCCTTCCAAGGTGATGAAACTTCATAACGATTGGTTTTATATTCAATAGTTTCTTCAAATCTACGCATAACTTCAGTGTCATTTTCATTTGCTGAATAGTCATGTATTCCAATTGCATCTAAATCCCATAGCCTTTTTAGAGCTGCACTAATTTCCAAATCATGTGGATGTGAAGTATTCTCAACAACATTCATTACCGTAATTCCGGAATGAAGTGTAGAAACATTACTTAATGCTTCAGTTCCGCTTATAGTGTAACCAAATAAGGTTTCAGAGGCAACAAGACCCTTTGATAATCTTTTAACCTTCCCAGTGACTATTTTCCAGTAATAATCATTACCAATTAATACTGATATTTGAGAGTTATGGACACCTATATCTGTAGCATCAGCAAGTCTTATCGAATTTTCCTTACAATAATTAAGTATTTCCTTTCCTGGTATACCAATAAGAGCTTGATTAATTTCTGGAGTTTCAAGAGCTTCAATTATTATTTTCCCAGGTCCACATATATCTTTAAGAATAACCTTAACCTTTTTTAGCCTTTTAACTGTAGGCTCAGTAGAGCCGAAGGTGTAAATCTGAAGTTCTTCTTCCCCCACAACACTTAATTTTAATTGTTTTGATACTTCTGTCAGGATGAAAGATTTATGAGAGGCAGAATCGAAAATGAGTCTTACATTTTTTCTTCTATTCTGACCTAAAGCTATTGCATTTGCAGTTTGTAAATAAACCCTATTTTTGTTATCTCTTTCCGAAATTGACGCCACCACTGTGTCTGTTTTAAGCTCACCTTTATTTTCCCGTTTATTTTCAAATTTATTATCATGTAAAATAGTATTATGCCTTAATGAACATAAATCACAGCGTATATTCGAGCTGCAACGGGCAGATGTATGAGACTTACGAAAGCATAAATAGCATCTGTTAGCCAATTTTAGATTTTTTCTTTTTTCCTCAATTGGAATTGCGCAATTTGAAGTAGAATGTTTCAAAGATTCATTTTCTATCTTCCCACAAAATATACAATCGGCTGTTGATGTATTCGTATTCAACGACGCAACTGCTGGAACAAAATGTTTGTTTTTGAAGGCAGTATGATATTTCTCACTTTTAATAAGGTCTCGCGATTGATGTTTATGTTGTTCGGTTCTAATGTTAAACTCGGAATAGTTTGGCGATGTTTGGAAAAACGTACGCTCTCTGCCTTCAACTTCCTTCTTCAGAAATTCCAAAATGTTAGTCACTGTGGCTTCTGTGTCAGGGGTTAAAGATCAATTAAACTCTAAAACCAATTCGCTAGGAAGTATCCTCATTAACAGTGGGCACAACAAATAGCTGTAAGAATTCGAAGTATCGTTAAGGGAATCAAGGCTTCTAATTTCAATTTCTAATTCAAGCTATCATATAAGTTACGTAATGTTTTAATATCATATAAGTTATGTAATGCTTTAAATTCAGCAGACGATTCATATGTGCATTTATTAAAATGTCCTTTCTACCAAACCTTTCTTTCAGAATATTTATTGCCTTAGCATAATTTTCGGCAACTAACGGTAATCCCTTTATTGACATTAAAGCTGCGTCCGTTAGTAAAGATGTGAGGTAATTAAATTTGTCTACATCCTTTAAAGCAGAGTTATTATGTATAGCAGATTCGTATTGAGCCCAAAAACTTTGAAATTCACATATTTCGCCTTTAAATTTATTTATGGTTAGTTTCGGAAGTTTAGCGCCATTTGTATTTGTGTTCTCTACCGTATCTATAGTAGCAGAATTAGATGGCAACTCATTTAATTTAACACATTTTCTATTTCTAAATATTCTACTGATCTTCGATTTACACAAGGTAATTTTATTTTTATATTCCAAGCTATCCTGTATTTCAGTTTCGTACTCTTTTTCATCTGTTAGGATAGATTCGATTTCAGAGTTCAATATTAGTATATCGTTTTCATTTTCATTTAAGATGGATAAATCATCTTCTAATAAATCAAATTTAATATTATCCGATTCTATTTCCTTTTCCATTTTAGCTATCAGTCTTGTTACTGATGCTCTTAAAATTCCTCGCTTCTTTTTTAGTGCTTTTAACTTATCCATCTTAATAATCAATATTCAATCACTAATCGAACATAATAAATACTTAAATCACAATATATCTAAAGATCACTGTTATCTCGGAATTTCGGCACCATGTTGCAACTTATGATCTTTTTTCTTATTCTTATTATTTACATTTAACAACATCGATAAGTGAAATTTTGCTTACCTTTCTTAATGAATATCCACAGGAACGCTTGGAATTCCTTTTCATTTTTATCACACAGAAGCTTTATTTACAGCTATGTACAAGAATTGTATGCTTACATTAGAACATTCATCATGTTTTTTCTGGTTGCCACTACATCTATCTCAAAAATCCGCAATGCGGTAAGAAAAATATAACAAGCTAAAAGTAAAAAACGCTGCGCCCTCTCGTGGCCAGCTACATAAACTGTAACAGCATGAAA